ACCCTCCCTCCTTACTCAAGGCACCTACCCAGGCGTGCTCCTGCTTTCTGAAGCACCTACAATGGTGGTAGTTTCACATCCAGCACCAGGTGTCGTGTGCCTGGGGCAGTCCCACTGTACCCACACAGAGGGGACCAGCGGTGACGTGCAGCCCAAGCAACACAGTTGTTTGTGTTTGCTTTGCATTCAGCTGCCTCCTCTTGCACTCTTGATTAACGTGGGATTTTTTTGGAGACAGGACCAGCCTTGTGTGCTCAGTCAATATGAGGTCCAGCAGGGACCATTCTGTCCAACCCAGCAAATCATGGGGTAGAGAAATAAAATGCTGGCATGCATGAAACCCCAGAGGTTTGCTCAAATCCAAGCTACAGCAGATTCCCTATGGAGGGAGACATGCCATCCTGATGGGAAATGTCCAAGACTCCCTTGTCCTCTGTTAACACAGCCCAGTCAATACCCACCCTCTGATGTCCTGCCCTGTTTTTCTAATGCACTTTGTTTCCTATCCTGCCAAAGGCTGTCCCTCTCACCTCTGTTTTAACTGGAAAAGGATTTCCACCCCATGGCCCTGATTCTGGCTGAATTAATGGTTTTTGAACTGAATCAGCACATTTGAAGTTAAAACAGATCCCCACTGAGTCTGTACATTTTTATTACTGTGCAAGGAGTGCTTAGGAAAATAAAAGGAACAAGAAAGCCCTGAGAGTGGACCACCCTGTTGAGGGGGGAAATATAGAAATCAAGCATGTTTATATGAGTGATATTTATAGGGTCAAGTGACATATATTGTACGAGGCCTTGGAGCCCATCTCGGGAATACCACATACCAGTCTGGGCACTCACGCTCAAGAAAATTTAATTGAAATTGAAGCAGGTGCAGAGGAGGTCTACTAAGATGGAGTGGCAATTGGAAAGATAAAGTGGTAAGGAGACACAAGAAAAAATGGACCATGTTTAGGTCACCAAAGCAAAGATGAAAAAAAAAATGATCAGGATCTGAGAACTGCCTATAAATACACACCAGGGGAGGGAAAGAAACCAACAAGTTAAATCAAAGGATCATTTTCCTAGAATAAATTATTGTAAATTAGCTACGAATATATTTTATCTGGGAATTAGGGGTTTTTTCCATCTATTGAGCAGAGAAGAGCTGAAGAAACTTTCTGTTTGGGTTAGCACGGGCAAGTGAAGAGACATATTTGAAGATGGACATTAATAAATTTACTGGAATGCTGGAGAGGAAATTTTATTACAAGATGGAGGAGTGTGGCTCAGTATCCCTGGGACTCCTTTCCTGACCTATACTCCTACGTGTGGATTGGTTTCGTAATCTGAAATCCTCTTTTGCCTTTCCTTTGCTAAGGACATCAGCACCTTTAAAATCTCCTGTCATTGTCACCCAAGAGCACAGGGCTGCATCTGCAAAGCTCCTAGCCCCACAGAGCTGCTGTTGCTCCCAAATTCATCAAGGGGGCCACTGTCAAACAATGAGACACACTTACTCCCACCGGGTTTGAATGAGCTGCTTTCTTTCAAAACACCCTTTAATTGACAGCTAGAAATAGCTTTCCATGATGACAAGCTGTCATTAATATCATTCACCAGAATGATACCCCAGTGATAGTCTATGAGTTTAGAGGGAAAGGGAGAGAGAAATCCTCTGCAAACAAATGTTTCAGCAGAATACACGAACTGAGCCGTGGTTTCAAGAATGACAACATGAATATAAAAATGTACATTGTGAATATTAGTATTCCCTTAAATATGTGCTCGTGTTGGTTAATGAGTCCCACCGGTGGCGTTAGTAACTGAATGATTTGGGTTGGCACGTTATTAACTTGTTAAGTAGAAAACAGTGATACAAAACTACTTGTCATGTGCATTATAAGACATTTAAAAGTTGCACTCAGCATAAGCAGCTGAACAGAACTAAAGGAGTCGCCTTTAAAATGAGCTGATGTTCCTTTGTGCCACAACCATGTAAAATCCCGTTGCTTTAAAAGGAGCTGTGCTCCATGGGCCCTGGAAAAGGAGGCACTGGAAGCGGGGTTTGGGGCAGTTGGCAGGACTCTTGTTCCTCCTCTGTGCTAGACAGGCAGTGACCTGATACTTCATCTTGGGCTGGGATGAGCTCAGCCCTTTATTCACTCAGAGCTGCCACGTTGGGTCAGGGGGGTTTATTCTGTGTTTTCTGCCTTCCCCTGCCCCACCAGTTTGCTGCCCTCTCGTAGAGCTCTGTCCCTCTGTCGGCCCAGTGGTGGCTGCACATCTGTGCTGAATGAAATGATGCTTTGTTAAGAAACTGTTGGGCTTCTAAAACAAATAAAATTGACAGGTAACTGTAGGCCAGGTTGCTGCATCTGCTGGCAGCAGCAGAGGGATCCAGCCATAGGAGAGAGGGGCACAGCTGGAAAATCTGAGCTGACCTTTCCACCCAGGGTTTGAAAATAGTCCTTCATGTAAATCAGGACGGACCAGACACTGCCCCCAGCATGGACCCTATTTCCTCTGGGCTGCTTCTAGCCATCCAAAAAACCTCTAAAGTAGGGCAAGCAATTAAGATACCGGAGCAGCTCCTGAAAGACACTCACTTGCTCTCGGACAGACAGAGGGATGGTTCTGTTGGTCCTGAGGCAATGAGGTAGCAGGGCTGGCACGAGCTGTGCTACCTGGAATAAATAAGGTGACCCTGATGAGCAACTATCAACCCTCTTGGCCACTTTCCCCCATCTGCAGAACCCAGTTTCTCAGCATTCCTTGCTCAGGGCTCCATGGCGATTGTTCACCTTTACATTTCCTAGCTGTGCCACTGACAGAGTCCCTTGGGGAGGAGAGCTGTTGCCAGTGATGATGCTACAGGGGCCATGTGCATTGATGGGCAAGCCACAGGATATCTATTGATCACCCTCATTCATTTTTCCAGGAGGCTGGAGTGAGCCAGATTAATCTGTAGGTGACATTTTCAGTGGCCTGCAGTGTTCATTTGAGGCCTGCACACTCACAAAAGACAGGCTCAGATATGAACAATACAGGAACAGTGATAATATTTTGTAAAACATGGTGCTCTCTCTCTTCAAACTGGTTTGAGTTCCTTCTTCGACAGCTGATGGCTGTGCCAGAAAAAGGCCCTCTTTGAAAATGCAGTTGCTGGTGGGAATTTCGTTGCTGTCCCGCAATCTTTGGAGTACAACGTGAACGGATCTCACAAGGGTCACTGAGGCTGGCAGAGGCCAAGATGTGGCCTCTGGTTGTTGCAGAAAATTCAGCTGGGAGAAGGGGATCCACCCCAAAAAAGGGGGCAGGATGAAATCCCCAGCCTGCTGTGCTGCTTGGCAAACCCATGAAACAGCACGAGGCTTGGCTGATGAAAAAAGGACATGCACACATCTATGAGCCATTCATTGTTTGCCTAGACTGAGGAATTATTTTTTACTGCTAGATGCAGAGGTCAGCAGTGGAAAGGCCTCCTTTCTTTCATCCTCCTGGAAACACAGGCAGGCTGTGAGCCCTAAATTTCAAGCCCTGGGCTTGCAGTGTAATTCAAGCATGTCTCAGCCAGTTTCCATCCCAGCTAAGGAGAGGACAGGGACAGATCGCTCAAGGAATGCCACAGCACAAAGGCCTTCAATTCACCCTCCTGGGCTCCTGGCAAACCATACATCAGTCACCAAAGACTTGACAAATCACAGCCATACAGCTAAGCTTAGAAGTAAAATTTCACATTATCCTTGCTTATGTGGGTGGGAGGCTGAGAGATGCCAAATGTAAGAGGGCTTAAAGGAACTCTTTCTATTATTAAATGGTTTGCTGTTGGTATTTTTATAGTTCTGACATGCTACTTTCACGATTCGGGCTCCCAGGTTCAAGGCCTCATACAAAAAGGAGCAAAAGGATAAATCCAGTCTGAAGAGCACCAGGCAGATTCAGTCAGGGAGCTGGGGAAGTGTGGGCAGCTCTCCTTGTGTGGAGCATCACTCAGTGATGTCTGCGCTCTGGTCCTTACCTTTGTCTAGGATTTTTAAGGCACTGAGCCGGAGGGATGATTTGAAGAGGGCAGCAAGATGACAGAGAGGTAGGAGTGCTCAGGGCAAAAGAATGGGTAGGGGGACCTCTAGGATCCTTCACAGCCCCGTTTGTGTCCGTGCTCTGAGTTTGCTCACTGCACACGTGGTGGGGATCAGGCACGAGCCAAGGAGCTGCTGGATTGAGAAGCGGGGGTGTGAGTTAATGGGGAGCAAGGAAGGAAGCAGTGCAGGGAATGGCCCCAGATAGAACGCTAGACATTGCAGCTGAGCTTTCCAAGAGTTACGGATGCATCAGTGGGTTAAAGACTGGGAATCACTGCAGGTAAGGTCATGGAATCATTAGGGCTGGGAGGGACCTCTGGGGATCATCCACTACGACCACTGTGCAGGATCACCTGGAGCAGGTTACACAGGAATGCTTCCAGGTGGGTTTGGAGCGTCTCCGGAGAGGGAGAATCCATAACCTGCCTGGACAGCCTGTTCCTTGCCGTGCCCCCTGTGCGGCTGGCAGGGACGGCTGGCTCAGAACCCTTGGAGTGTGACATCCAGCAAGGCGTCATCCAGTGTGACATCCAGTGAGGTGTGAGCGCGCTGGCTGGGGAGGGGGTGCCACAGCTCGGGGCTGTCTAACAAAGACCGGGCAAGGCCCAGACACGGGTTTAGGATCAGAGAGCTGGGTGAACACCGAAGGACGGAGCCATCAGTGGATGGGGGAGGGCGACCTGGGGGGGCACGGCGGGATGGCCCTTTGGGACGCACGGTACGCGGTAGCCCCGGGGGGGGCAGGAGGCGGCGGGCCGGTGGGGAGGTGTCCACCGGGCACGGGTTGGAGGGGTTGTGGGGGGTTCATTGCCCGGCGGGGACGAGCGCGGCGTCGAGGCGCGGCCACGCGGCGGGGCCGGCCGGGACTACATTGCCCGTGGTGCCCCGCGGCGCGGCGGGCGGCGCGCGCGTGCGCGGTGCGGGTGGGCGGTGGGCCGGAGGCGCCGCCCCCGGCGGCGGCGGGCGCTGCGGTTGGGCGGCGGCGCTGCCGCTCAGCGCGGGGTCGGGGGTCAGAGTGCGGGCGGTGAGTGGCGGTGCCGGGCACTCGTGGTGCGGAGTGCGGGGCGCGGGGCCCGCCCGGACCGGGCCGGCCCCAACGCGGGGAGGGCGCGGGCGGCGGGCGGGCGGCGGCTCGGTCCGGCTCGGCCCGGCGTGGCGCGGGCGGCGCGGGGCCCCGCAGGCCCGGCGGAGGCGTGGGGCCGCCGTGGCCCGGGCAGGGGTGGAGGCCGGCGCGGAGCGAGGGCGCGGCCCGGCCCCCTGCGGCGGCGGGGCCCGGGCCGGGGGCGGGGGCGGCGGGCCGGGCCGGGGCGCGGCGGGGCGAGGCTGTGGGGAGGCCGGGGGGCGGCCCCGGGCCGAGGGCAGGGCGGGGGGTGCTGCCGCCTCGCCGGCTCGACGCCCCCGCGGCCGGGCCCTGCCGTGGGTGCGAGGGCCGGTGCTGGCGGTGGGCAGCAGTCCCCCCGGGTCCCAGCCGGAGCGGGATCAGTCGCTGTCAGGGCTCGGGGACGGGAGGAAGCCCGCCTGCTCGGGAGGGTGTGCGCAGGAGGCAGCAGCAGGGAGGATTTTCCATGTTCCTTTTGGGATGGGGAGGCTCATAGGTGGAAGCCATGGGGGAGTAGGAGGTTTGATTTCCCCCTCCCCTCCCGATTTTTTTTTTTTTTTTATTCTGTGAGATTGATCTGATCACTTGCCTCAGATCTCGAGACTGAAGTAAACTTGAGAAAGCTTAGAAGTGCAGTTTGTTTACTTGTTTCCTGACTGGCAGTAGGAATTTCTTCTCCTGTTCTTTTCTCGCTGCTGTGCTGTTACAGGTGTTTCTTCCAAACTGAGATATACGAAGAGGTGTTGTCATTTACTGCTTATGTTCTGTCTTTTACAAGTCCTGTGTCTGGTGGATTTGCGTGGTCACTGCTGGCCTGTTTGCTGCTGAGTCCAACGTTTGTTTTACTACTTCTTTACTTACCTCAACTTTTTATTGAGCTTTTGGGTTCAGAAATGGTGGATCGACAGCTGCTGCTTAGTCTGAACTCTTTAGTATTCTTTCAGCTGCGATGCAAGGGGCCAGAAAGTTTTCTAAGAGGTTCATGCTTGCACTGTGCATTGGAGAAGGATGAGGGCTCCAGGGAGGTACATCTAAGAGGTGCTTGTCCCATCAGATGCTGTTAGACAACTCTAAGAGGATTTTACTTGATTTGTTTCTAAGGGTAACTTGAATTTACTTTGTCCTGTAGTTGCTCTTTGCAACATCGTAGCATCTCATATCACTTGATGTTAAAGTTGGCTTTTGAACTTTACTCCTCAGTGTATAGGGTTGGGAAATTTGATTTCGGGTTTTGTTATTGTTTTTTTTTAATTCAGATATTTTTGTTTCCCTTTTTGAAGCACTGAATTCTGCCCTTTGCAGCTGGATTTTCGTGTTAATTTATAGTGTGGACTAAATGCCTGTTTTGTTTGAAGAGTGATCCTGTGGCCATTTTATGGTTCTTATCTCAGACTTTGGGTAGCTCTACATGAATGGTGTGTTGGGGTTTTTTTGGTAAAGTTAGTGTGTGTCTAGACAGATTTGAGTGTTACCAAAATCTGAAAGAAAAAGTGATTAAAGAATTAAAGAAAATGCTTGTGTGCTTGATGCTAAATAAAGAAGTCCTTGGCTTGGATATACTCTGATAGGACCTAAAGTTTCTGTTCTGCTCTCGAGAGACACTTCAGTTTGCTTCCTTTAGGAGGCCTGGTTACAGCTGGTTTGGTGCTTATCTTGTTTTGATTCTGTTAACTTTGGAAGGCCTCGATGTGATTTGATTTTTATATTCTTGTTGTTTTCCCTTACGTTTTGGACATGGAGTTCTGGAAGAGACTTGAATGTGACAAGTGTTTGCACTTTACTCCATCCCTGTCTCAGGTCAGTGGTCACCTTTAGGAAAGGGCCACAGGGCCGCAGAGTGCAGGTGTGGTGCCATCCAGCTGTGGCTGCAGGAGAGCACAGAAGGCTGTAAGCAACTGTGCTCTTGTCACAAGTCTGTCCTTGGATCTGAAGCAGGTATTTTTGCTGGAAGTGGTCATCCTGAGACTCCTGGTGTTCTTCTCTATTAGTGGTGAGCTAACATACCAGCACGGTGCCATGGGCAAGCAGGGGAATTGAGGGAAGAAGAGGAGAAGTTGTGGCTCTCGAAGCATAACCTAGAGCAGAGGTGCTGGCTGTTGCTGCTAGGTATCATTTGGACCATTTCCCTCCTCTAAGAAAAGTGATCTGTGCTGGCTGAGTGCCAGATGAGAAGTTATATTCTCTCCAGATATGCTGTGTAGGCAAAGATACTTCACTCCCAACCAAGAAAAAGTTATTTATTTTTTTAATTTCGGCTGTATTTGTTACAGTCATAATTTTTTTCCATGGTTGAATATCAGAGACAACATCTTCCCTGGCTGGTTTTCCAGGCTCACTGAGACTGGACTGTGTGGAAACCATGCCCTGGTTGGAGCATTTGCCAGTCTACCTGGACAGAGCTTTGCCAGAGTACTGGCTTTCTCTCAACACTTTTGGAGTTTGTTTGTGAAGATCGAAAGTGAACAGTGTATTGAGCAATGTAAATCTTGTCCTCCTGAATCCAGACTGAGATTCATTTTGCACTCTCAGGTGTTAACCTTCATTTTTTCAGATAACAAAGGTGTGTGGCTGTACAAGTGGTGTGAACAACTGTAGCATTCATCTGTATGAAAATGAAGTAGTTATACGTGCCAGAGTCCATTAAACAAAGGGTGGCTGGCTATGTCTCTTTTCCACTACATGAGGCCAGTATGCAATAGTAGGTTTTACTGACTAGATGCATAGGAGCTAAAAATCTCTTGCTCCTGGCACTGGGAGCTGTGCTGTGGACTGAGAACACTGAAGTGCCATAAATTTCACAACTTGCTTCAGAGACCAGGGCTGGGAAAGTTTGAGTGAAAACTAAGACGTGTTATTTTTTGACAGTTGACTGACCACTGGAATGAGCTGTCTGAAGGTAGTGGGGAACCTCCATTCTTGATGTTGCAATTCAAGGCCAGAAACGTTTCTGAAAGATGTTCAAGCCTTTGGGCTCGAGTAAGGAAGTGGAAGCTTTACGGCCAGCGTTACATGAGGTGCAGACAGGATGGTCCGATGGGCCTTGGGAATTCAAGTTTTATGTGTCTATGCTGCTACAGCTGGGATACCCTCTCCATTTCCTGGAAAGTGCCACACCATCCCAGGTGTCTGTATCCTGGTCTGGGTTTGGTGAGCAGCTGAGCTGACCAACAGCTCCCAATGGCTCATCTTGCTCCTGCTCGTGCCAGCATGGGCCTGTCCTCTTCTTTGAGCTTTGGTGTTCATCCAGCCTGGCCCCAAGCTGGTTCATCTCACTAAACCAGACGGAAACTATCTTGTTTTAATTGCGCTTTATTCTGGCTGTGTTAGTCCTTTTATAGGTTCCCGTGGTTGAATCGGCTCACAGAAGGGCCAGACAAGCTCAGGAACTGGTGTAATGTAATAAGCAGGAGAGTAAGACTGAGAGGGAAGGACAGGCCTGCCTCCTTTTGGCCTCCCAGAACTATTGGCTTTTAATTAATCTCGTTGCGTGTAGTTTCACCCTGGTGCATTATTGCTCCCATGCAGAGGCAGGAGAGTGGACTAGAGGATTTTTGGTCTGATCCTGTGCAACTGTTCTTTTCCTTAATTGCAAATCTGCTCTTCCTCTATGGCTTTTGCTGTATGCATCCTTGTTGTTGCTTTGTTTTAATTTTTATTCTTTCCTTTCTCTACGTTTCTTCTAAGTGACCAGTCCTTTGCTGTGTGGAACTTCTTCAGACTCCAGCTTAGACCCGTTTGCTCATCTGCAGTTACTCTTGGAGAAGGTTTAAAAATACACAGCAAAGCCTGTCTTAGGAGACCAGTCAAGGAGCTGACGAAAGTGGGTTGCCTAGCAGAGGTGGCCTAATAAAATTGGAGTGGAATTATACTGTGCATCTTTGGGACGGCTTCTGGGTGGTCTGTTTGGATGAGTTCACGTCCTGCTGGCGTGGAGTCTCGTGTGGGTTTCACTGTGTTGTCAAGTGAACTGAGATGTGTTTGTTTCCCAGACTTGTAGGGTGCCATAGCTCCAGCAAGTGCTCCCCTAAGTAATCAGCGCCTTCGGCCTCACACATTGTGATCTCACAAGCCATCGCGTCTGTGATGTCACAATGGAAGAGATTCTGGTGCTCTGACATATGTGGTTCGTGCCTTTGACATGTCAGCCAAGGAACCCAGTGGGAAGAATGAGCTCAAGAAATGGGAGAGACCTTCCTTAACCCGAGAGTGCCCTCCATCCTTTAGTCAGCCCTTCCCATATTCACTTACCCCTTCCATCATGGCACTTAGAGGGAAGCCAGTGCTTGTGTAGACTGAATTATTTTTTTCAGTTGAACTCCTGCCATGCATGTTTCTCCCAGATGAGCGGTTGCCCAACTATCCTCCTGTAACCTTCATTCTTTCCTGCTGTTCACCTCACTTGTTGTATTGCTTCTAATTTTAGACTGTAAGTTCTCGAGAACAGGGACCTCTTCGTCTGTAGTGGGAAGAGCCTGGGTGCGATTGTGGAGCGCTGTAAAAACAAAACGATGGATGCCAAGCTGTATCTGAGCTGAGTAATGATGGGGCAGCACACAGGCATGCCATGGCAATGCTTTGGGAAAGCTGCATTACAAATTTTCCAAAACACAGGCTTGGTTGTCTAGCAGTGCCGGAGACAAACCCAGCCAAACGAGAAGGGAGTGCAGCCACCGAAGTGTACTGTTTTCATGTTCAAGAGATGGTGCTGTGAGGTTAACAAATTAAAGATGCAGATTTACCTGTCTAAAATTGTGTTACTTTATTAAACGGTTCTAAAAGCTTTGTCTTTTGTTGTTTGTTTTACTTTTGTATTTTTTTTTGTTTGTTTGAGTTTTTTTGCAAGGTTGGATGGTGAGAGTGGATAAGCTGTGATAAGTGGATAAGTGTTTCTTGTTTCCTGCCTCACAGGCTAGCCAGGTGCTGTCATTTTTGGACTGTAGTTCATCTAATGAAATATTTGGGTTTAGGTTAAGGTTGATTTAAAAAACAAAATCTAAGTTATCTCTATTGTTCTTCAGTTATATCCTCACACAAGTGAAATATGGGCTCACATTTGACCTCTGAGTATGCATTTGAACAGCTACCAAAATTGAAGTCCTGCATTTTTTTTTGTTATACTGCGTTCCAGATGTTGCTAAATGTATGCAATTTTGTTTCATCAAAAGCATCTCTATTACCTTATCTTTTTACAATTTAATAAAATAGACAAACCTGACTTACATTTTTGATTGGTTTTGGTTGCTCTAGCATTGAAGTGAGTTGTCTGTTGGAGGCCAGGAGTCACAACTGCCCCTACCGAGGCTTTGCACAAATAATAAACTGAAGTGTTTTACTCCCAGAGCTTGCTTGCTTTTATTTTTTAATTTCAGTTTGTCTTGTTGTTCAGATTAGAGGGGGGGTTTATTTTGCTTTGCTTTGTTTGTTTGTTTATTTTGTAAAATGGTGTAGGCCTGTATTGCCATAACAACGTAATTTATCATGTAAGTGAAGGCTCTCATAAAACATGTAATTTCTTGGGTCACCCCTCCAATCTGAAGTTATGTGTTGTCCTCCTGCCCCCTCCCTACTCAGCTTATCAAAGTGGACAGTGAAGGGGAATATTTTGAGGTTAAAGGCAAGCTGTGATTTTATTTAGATGTGGTTCTAAAAAGTTCATATTTATGTTATGTGCAAAGAACCATTAAGCTCAAGTTTCTGGGCTCATTTGTCTTGCTGTTGATGAATTTGAATCCCCTGCAACTTGTGTGGTGTACATCAATTTCTGTGGCTTTGAGGCTGTCCTACAGGCAGGGGAAAGCGCTTGCAATGCCCTGCTGGCTCTTGTCACCAGCATTCTTCATGGGGCAGGAGTTCCCTGTCGTGTCCCTTGCCATTTTGGTTGTCCCTAAGCAACTTCCCCAGTAGGAAGCCTGGCACGCGACAGCCGCCGGTGCAGATTCTCCTCTTTGCACTCAGTGGGGCCCCTGGCAAAGTGGCAAAGCTGGTGGCTACAGCTGGCACTTGCCTTCCTCTTGGCTTTCCATACTTGCTGGTGATCAAATGTTGTGCTTTAGTGCCATGTGCTTGGACTGCTAAGAAGCAAGAGCTGTGGTCAGCCTGAGGTTGTACCTGAGGCTGATGTCCAGAGAATAATTTATTTTTTTTAAAATTATTTTTTAAAATACAGATGCTGACTGTACCAAGTACTGTCACATGGGACACAAGCTGTTACACAGTACAAAATACAAACTTTATCTTCCAGCTGAAACCCACCACATGTGGCCGTTTCCCGTCTTACTGGGTGCAGCAAGTGTAAAGTGCTGTCACATTTTCCTAGGTCTGTGTACAATCTGTCAAAATAATTCCTGAGGTCCAGCCTCAGTTCATGGTCCCATTACATTTCATACGTATCTGTGTGAGGAATTTGAGCTGTGTGATATGAAATATTAACCTAGTAGGGTTGACTGCCAGATGTGACAGCTTGCACTGTCTGAGATTATAATCTGATCCTGTGTGCATAAGGAATATATATGTGATGTTTTATGTAGGTTTGGAAATGGAATCACTGAACATGTGGATTTATATGGATAGAGCTGGTTTTCTAATTTTTGAAGCTGCCTTGCTTGCATTGTTGTCTATTGGAAAAAATATGGGATAATTACTAGTGCTTTGCATTGTCACAGCACTAGTAAAAGCATTATAAATGCTTTACATGACTTTCTAATAAAGTGTGTTTGCTCACCAGCTATCTTGTGCTCTGGGGCACTCTGACCTTGCCAAAGAAGATGATGTGAGGTCTTCCCAGGGCACCCAGAGCAGTGGCTGGGTAAACATGCCGTTAAAACTTCATTTGGCTGAAGGTGCAGAGTTTACAGTGGGGTTACCCTTATTTGTATGCTGCCTGCGTAGGGGAATCGCTCTGCAATGCCCCACTCACACCTTTGTTCGGAGCATTCCTCCCTCTGCTACATGGGAGAGAGGCTGCTTTTGGGATGGGGAACCTGATCCTGGTGCTAGACATGAACCTCTGCAGAAGTTGATAGTGTAAACAGGCACTGGCTGTTGGCTGTTATTTCCCTCTTGCTGATGCTGTGGGGTACCTGTGTGACACAGGCCTGCCAGGGTCTGCAGTGGTGCTGCCCTGCCTGCCTGGTGACGTGCCTGAATCCTGCCAGGACAGCTGGTTTACCTTTGCTGTGTGGACTCGGTGGCTTTGGGAACCTCTGCCCCACAGCGTGTAGTGCAGCCCAGCCTGAAGATTCGTGGGGTCCATGTCAGATAACCCTGGTCTTGCCAGTTAAGATACATTGGAGAAGTATTGATCTTGCTGTGGGTGGGTGGATAATGTATGTTTTATTGCCTGTGTTTGATATAGGTGTTGGAGCCTGCCTTGCCTCCTCCACTCCAACTGTGTATTTTACTTTATGCAGTGGGCTAAAGACCAGGTTTTACTGCAACTAACTTACAAGCTGCTTTATTCTGAGATGTTATATTTGCTGTGATGGGCCTTTAGATTCATTGCCTGTAACTTGAAGATTTAAAGCATGTATACCTTAAATATCTCTTATCTGGCACAGGTTAGAAGTGAATATAACTAACTTCTATTTGGCAGTAATGCATTTATGAATGACAGCCAAAGCTGTAGATGGAGAGGCAGTTGGTAGAACTGAGCCCCTTTAAAATAAATGCCATGTTGGGCTCTTCAGTTTGGTTTTGCAGCTTGAGTTTTCAGTTGTCCACGTACCTGCTGCCTGGCACACTGTGTTAATAAAGCAAGCAGCCCCCCAAAACATGAAAGCCTTAAGGCAGGGATGCATATACGCTGTGGAATTGGCAGTGTGGGCACTGGCTTGGTCTTAAACATCTCAGCTCCTTTGATTTTTGCCTTTCACTCAAAACCTTGGAAAGGGAAGGTTACCAAATGCGTGTTTACTCGAGGCACACAACCTGCTTAGCTGCAATTATCTCCTAATCTGGTCCTTCTGAGTTTCTGTGGTCTCACAGGTAAATACAGATTTAGCCGTTATTCAAGGCATATTATTTACCTCATTAAGTGTGTGTTTTGGCACGTGCATTATTTACCTGACGGACTAACGGATGGGAGAGAGCAAATGCTGTCCTTTGTGCAAACAGTGACTTTGTTCGTGAGCGGTGAGTCCCCTTTCTGCTGTGCCTGTTTTGTCTCCGTGTCTCGTGGCGGGCGCTCGCAGCCCTTCCTGGCAGAGCAAAAAGCCAGCTCAGGTGTGGGGAGGCCGGGCTCAGAAAAAGGCCTGTGGGTGGCATGTGGTGCCATGGAGCTCTTCCCAGAGCCACGAGCAGTGGGACCAATTGTGGGGATGGATTTAAATATCTGTGTAGTGAGATGTGTGTGTATATATTTATACACATACATATATATATGCATACACAATTAGAGGGGGTACTCAAATCCTCGTTCAAGAGGACTGAGTTGTTGCAATTAGCTTGTTTCGCTATCAGTCACTGTACCCAGCTACCAACACCATGAGTTGGGCCTGAACCTCCTCCCTAGAGATCTGTTAACAGCCCTGAGTCTGACCTGCCTCTGATAGGGACAGTCCTGGCAAGTTTTTCCTGCCAAGTTTTAAAAGTAAAAGAGTAGGAGGGGAAATCCAGGTAGTCTTGTGTGGATAATGTAATTTATTAAACAGCATTTAAATAGAAACATCAAATGGTGGTGGCTGAGTGAGGTATTTTTCTGAGAGGGAGGCTGTAACCTCTAGAGTCCTGCTTGCATTTTACAGTTTTTGCAGTCCCTGGGTGTGGTTAGTTCACCTGATATCCTCCTCTGAGAAATATCTGAAGGAAGAAATGGAGTGTAGCACTAAATTCACATCTCTGAGAAACCTCATACACAAAGCAAATCAGAACTTCCTCTGGGGAGGAGCCTTCCAGCTACCAGACACATGGATTTGTAGTAGAAGTGGGCTGTTTTGCTGCAGCTCACAGGTGTTTCAGGGCTAAGCTGGTGGGATGGGTTGTAGTGTTGATATGTGTATTGCTGTATTTAATTCCTACCATGTATCAGAAACTGCATTGTATCTGAAAAGATGAAAGGCCTCCTCAGACATTTCAGTGGGGCTTAGATTAGATTTTCTGTGTTTTAATTGGTTTTTGCTGTGTTCTACCACGATAAGGTTCAGTAGTGGGGTGTGATCTGGTGCCTGGAGCCATGACTGTTGTGTGTCTCATAGTTCTTGATTTAGAGCCATTTGCAGAAGTTAATTTTCAGTTGCCTGTGATTCTGGACACCTTAAGCTCAGTCCAGATGTCATCTGTTGTGCTTAGAGCAGGTTACTGTGTTACTTCAGGTTTGCAGTGCTGGAACCTGCACTGGGAAGCACGGAGTAAATCCCTGTCGGAGGAGGACAGTGAACAGAATACTAGGAGAGATGAGATGTATGTGTACATGAGTAATGTGAGTCTCTCTTCAGTTTCAGATGCCTCTGGATGTTCAATGATAGCATTCCTCCATACTGGAGCAGCAAAGTTTCCCCAAAACTTACTTTCAAGGGCAAGACAAGCTGTGTCCCCCCTCCTGGCTGGTGTTCTCAAAGGGTCCAGCTCCATCGTAAGCAGGAAACTGGCGTCCCACGGCTTTGGAGCTTCCATGGCAGCAATGTCATCCTTCCCTCCACAGAGATATCACTACTTCTTAGTGCTGGATTTTGAGGCTACGTGTGATAAACCACAGATTCATCCTCAGGTAAATAGTCAGTCTTGTTAATTATCACCTTGCAAGTTGCTACTGATGTTCTGAGAGGTAAAAGGAAAAGGCACAGTGCTGGCTCGCTCATTTTTTCTGGTTTGTCCCACCTTCTTTCTGTTGCTGGTTCTCCAGGATTCTTGCCAATTACCTGTTGTCTCAGCAGCGATACCAAGACTGTTTGGTGGGAATAAATGAAGGAGTCTGATTTCCACCACAGAAGTGACAATTCATGTGTTATTGAAAACATCTTTAAGTCATGTATAATTGTCATCTGCCTGAATTGGGGAGGGTCTAAAAAATTCTGGCTGGGAACTTGCATTAGAAGATGGCAACCTTGTTTGATTCTGCAAGGAAAACGGCTGTTTGTAGTGAACAGCTTTAGGGAGAGAAGATTTTGAATTACAGGAATATGTGCAACATAATGGTATTTCTAAATTGAGAAGAACAACAGTTTGAAGATCATTTCAGTAAGATCAGATATCTTGCCTGGGTGTTAACTCTGGAGTGTGATGAGATAGGAGGAGTTCACCTTCAGAGAGAGCTTCCAGTGCTCTACCATTTGAGACATACAGAGATCCAGATGAAGTACAGAGGTTTTTCTGCAGACAGTTCTTCCACAGTTATTATAGTTATAGAGCATATTAGTAAATATATTCTCAGTTGTCAGCAGGATGAGCCTAGGTTTTCCATTTAAATTGGAAAACTGTACTAAATAGAAAAAAACCCTAATACTGGGTTGGTAGTGAACAAACAGAATTCCTGAGTCTGAATTGAACTCACCCTTCCCTACCAAGGAATTGTCCTGCATGCATTGCAGTGGGTCAGAATAACTTCCTTTTGCTCTGTTTTGACTGTGAAAGGCTTAAGCAGTTTTCAGTGTGGTGTCTCATTACTGAAGTGACTCGATGCAGTGTATTCATTTCCCAGTGCAGCTGTGGTTTCCCTTAGGCTTGTCCCAGCTAAGGGATGCTGCAAGTTGGGATTGAAGTTGCCTCCTGTCTTTCCCAGTAGTACCTTGGTGAGTGCCGCCTGCCTCTCGTGTTCCTCGAAAAACGGACATCAAATTCCCTGCTGTTTTGCTGGCTCTTTGTGGGAGGCTGTTGTGGCTCTGCATCCAGTTCTGCCTAGCAGGGTCTTAACTGCTCTCCAAGTGAGATGTCAGGCTATTTCCTGCATGCTCCGCCTCGGGTGCACAGACCTGTCAAAGCTGTAAATTGGATCTACCTTGTCCCTTTGGATATGGGTTTGGTCTGTGCACATTTTGATGCAAAACCATGATGCATGTGGAGCTAGTTTACAACTGGCAGTAAAAAGGAGCATGAGTGGAATATGATTACTACTGTTTTAAGGAGCTTTGTCCCCAAGTCCTTGCCAGGGAAAGTAATGGTCTGGGCCAATGCAGATCTGCTATATATTTTGTTGGTGAGATGATAGCACCTTTAAGGTGATGTTCTTCAGTGGGGGTTTTTTTTTCCAGTCTGCTGTCTTCAGTGCCTGTCTGCATCATATAATGTGTGGAAAGGGCTGTCAGTCCCTCACATCCTCACCAGCAAATTAGTTTGACAAATAGAGAAATTACTTTTGCTACATGGTGTAGCTGGAAAGGCTGAAAGTGCCTGCCAGTTGGGTAACTTGATGAGTTGATGCCTCTATCTACCTCCTACTTTTTTGCTGACCATCATGGCTTTAGTCCTCTTCACTGCTAGGCTGGATGTGATGGTGAGCAATCTGTGCCATGTATTTCAGTGATGTTTTCTGCAAGGTTTTATTGGCAGGATCTTTCACTGGCATAGTGGCAGGGAGGTTTTGGAGGTTTTGTCTGAGGACAGACCTGAGAGCTAGGAATGGTGAGGTGCTGATCTTCACTGTGATCCTGCTAATTTTTCTGCTTTTGTTTTAATACCTGCAAAATAGAAGTCTCGATACAATGAAATTCAAATGCATTGGGATTTGATGAGGAAGCTGCATGTGCAGAGTTAAGCTAAGCTGTGATTCAGGTTACTTTAAGTGGGTAGTCATAGCTGTACATTTAGCCAGCTCAGCCTAAAGGTCTTGCAGAGTGCACTTGCCACCATTCAGCACACTTCACATTTTTCACTAACCGCTCTTCTAAATATTTTGCCTTCTTACAAGAAACTATTGAAAGAGCTATCTTTTTATCTACTCTAGGATGTGTGACTGCCACATCTGCTCCCCCTCCTGCTGTATTTACTCATGCTCTTCTGCAGCCGGCAGCCTCACTGGCTTTATCCCTGGGGAAGTCCTTCATGCTCAGTCCTGAGCCCTGAAGACGCCTTCATTTCCATTCCCTTTCACACTGCCCAATCTCTCTGAGGTCTCGTGGTATGGCCTCTGTAATGGGGATCAAGGAGGGTCAAGGATGGTGGTATTCCCCTGGGAAGCTGTCTGCGTTGTGGCTCCAGTGGCTGGGATTGTTGGCAGAGTGCCTTGTGGCCACTGCCCTCTGCTTCACCACTCCTGGGTCAGGCACCGAGGGTCCTTCATGTTCCCTGCCCTACACCCACAAAGGAACGGGAGCATCCTTGCAGCCCTGACTTGTGACCGCTTTCAGCAGATACACTCCTAAATCAAAGGGCTTTTTTATAAACACAGAAACTGCTTTATTGAGGAAAAAGCTTTATTGGCTTTTGGGATGTATTTATGAATAATCAGACCATCCCAGAGAGGAAAGAAGTGGGGAGAGGGGGACTAACTGCACGGTCTGTGTCATGCAGTGTTTTAGCCAGCCAAAGGTCATTAGGGGTTGGTAGTAAGAGATGTTTATGGCTGGCCCCTCGCATTTCTTTAAAGCTTACCTTGTGCCTTTGGAATGTGATCCAGAGCCCAGTGGGGTCAGGTGGGAGCTGTCATTCTGCAGAGGTCAGTGGACCCTGAACCATGCTGGTGCTGGTGTGCTTCATTTTTCAGCTCTGAGTTTTTTCCTTTACTGTCTGCTAAGAGTTTATAAGTACCCTCTGCCTTTATACACTGTCAGCCCGTAGAGCTGGGTACATGTCATGCTTTAGCTTCATGAGAAGATGCATTAATAAGTGAGAGTCTTGCTCTTTTGTCCCTTTGTCCTTGTATACACCAGTGTTTATGGTGGTCAGTGCTTTCAGTGACTGTGTTAAGCAGCTCCACAGCCTCAGATCCGTGGCTGCCTGTAACCTTGTTTTATTAATGCAGTAAGAGGGTGTGCCTCTTTCGGTCAGCAAGCCAAGTACCTTGCCTTCAACTTCAGCAGAGTGGATGAAAAGCAATGTGATTTTTTTAAATATAAAAAGTCTGAAGGTGGAAATCAGATCTGTTCAAAGATGATTTTGCACTTAGACTTCTAGATAGGTTGTTAATCTCTACTATAATCTAATAAAGCCACTTAAATGAGAATCAAATCAAATACAAGATATGTATGTCTGCTGCCTGGAAGTGTAAAGGAGCATCAGACCCCTGACCTGGTAGAACAAGCTGGATCCAGGAGTTGCTAAACTGCTAAATGAGCTTTTTATAATGATGAAGTTGCTCTTTCTCATGTCAGTTTTTTCAGGTGCTTGCGTTCAGTGTCTCAGATTCACTCAAATTTGATACTCAGTTGAGAATTAGAAATTTGCCTCTTCCAAACTCTCTGTAAAAGGAAAGTATAAAGATCTTCTCATTGCCAAAGAAGGTTGTGACCAGAGGCAGAAGAACAAATTATTTACAGACAGTACTTTCTGTGTTCTCTTAAATAGTGCATTTTAAATACAAGACTATATTTTTCTTTAGTTTATCCTACATATTTTGAATTTGTTTTGCTTGCATTTTGTTTGTTATTTTGGGAGAATTTGTAATTATAATTGCTGTCAGATGAAACTGGACATATTAATAAATACAAAACATCACTCACCATTTCAACGTAAAACCATAAACACTGAGACTCTGACTAAGCATGTGTTCAGTTACTAAGTTACTTCTAAGTGTACAAACAAATCTGGATGATCAGAGTACATTTCATGATTGGCAAAAGTGTATTAACAAACGGGAGCCGGTGTTTCTGTAAGATAATATTAAGAACAAATGCAGGAGAAGGTTAAATCATCTTCAGTCTGTGTTTCCTTGAGCATTACAGGGGTTTTCCCCTGAACATCCTGCAGTTCCAGCCTGCAGTCACGGGCAGGGGCAGCTGGAGTGGCTGTGATGATCACTACCTGTACTGCTCTACCCGTGATCTTGTTCCCACGGCAGGGGCAACTGAATCCTGTGTCTCTGTTCCTGAGATGCTGTGATTTATAGACTGGCCTTGTAATGGGAATGGATGTTGACTTCCACCAGATTTAGGCCATAGCAACAGATGTGCAGTCCCTGCCAAGCTCTCTGCACAGGGTGACCAGATAGATGACAGGGAAGCTGCCTTGGGAGCTGTATCATCTGAGGCTACTTTGTAGGAGGAATATGTCCCTGAAATCATGAACTTGCTGCAGGAGGAGGTGATGGAGGGACTGCTGGTCTGCTGGGAAGAAGGCTGCAGGGTACTTCATGCATGCCTTCCGTGTGGTTTTCTGCGGAGCCTGCATCAAGGCAATCCTGGCTGAAGGCCGGGATGGGAATGCAGAAGGGTGTCACACACTAACAAACATTCTCACAATCCTGCCCAGAGGCCTATAAAGGGCGTGTTCCTATCTATTCTATCTGGACATCCCCACATAGCAGCTTTCTTCTCACCACATTTTTGTGTTAAGCTCAATGCACTAGGAATCACCTGCCAATTGAGGGATCAATCACCACCTTTATTGAGGGTGATCATGAGTTGCTGAAAAGTGAAGAAATTCAGGCTTGTTTCCCATGGCAACTTTAACTCAGCCCTAAGTATTACACTGGAATATTAATCTGCAATTACCTATATTCATGCAGCTTAGGCTTGGGTGTAGTTTTAGTTACCTAGTTCTTAATTCAACTTCTTACAATGCTGTTTCTAGAGAAATGCCATTAAAAATGCATGTAACACAGTGACTTTAAAGTCT